TCAATGTCTCAAATCGATTATGGCAATGGATGCACAGCTGTGAATATACTAAAAAACCACTGAACTGCACACTTTAAGTGGGTGCATTGTACAGTGTGTGAATTATATGTTACTATAACTGTTATAAAAAAATAATGATCTGGATGAGTTCCCTGGAGCTGTGGGCCCAGACCATGACCAGCACCTTAGGCCCCCCGAATTCTGGAGTCAGGTGAGGCCGAGCCTCAGGGAAATCATGCTCATTCACTCCTCCACACCTGAAGCCAAGGTAGGGTCCCTGCCAGTGGATCCTGAAGGCTGAAGGCAGGATATGGCACCCCAAAGACAACTGTGGTTTAGGATATGCCACCCCAGGATATGTGGCTTTGGCTCATTGATTATTTTGAGCAAATGCTTGAGAGGCTTTCTCTGAACTCTCTCATCTGTCTAAAGACAGTTCCTCCAAAAGGAACTCAGTTGTCCTAAGTCCCCTGCCATAAGGGTCATCAGCCAGGGAGGACTGACTCTTTTCACAGGAGAAGGGACAACAAACACCCAGACACACTTGGTTAGCAACTACCATACCTCCCATCCCTTCTCCTAAGAGCCCACTCATCATTCTGAAAAATCATTTTCTCTCCCCTAAGATCATGTACATCCCCCTTCCCTTCCCTACTCAGAGGTATTTAAGCCTGAATTCTAAGCCACCTTGGGGAGTTACTCATTTTTCCCTGGGTATCCCCCAGGTATACATGAGGTATACACATTAATAAACTGTTTCTCTCTTGTTAATCTGTCTTTTATTACAGGGGTCAGCCAAGAACTCAGAAGTATAGAGGGAAATTATGCTTCCTCTCATGCAAGGCTTTGTCTTCAGAGAAGCGCTCCCATGGTGCTCAGGGTCAGGGGGCAGTGAGTGTTCCCAGAGGTTCTGGAAGGGAGGAAGGCGGTGGTGCTTTATTTCCTGTCCCACAAGAGCTGAGGGGACCTCATGGATGAAGATCAGGGAATGGAAAGAATGTCACAGGACAAGGGACTATAAAGTAAATATAATAACTGCACAATTGGGGGGTGCTAACTGCATGGTGTGGTTACATGTGAAGCAATGGGATACAATGTATTATAGAAGCTTCTCTGGCCTGGAAAAGCTTGCCAAGGCTGGCTGGAGAGAGATGTGTGGGAGAACTGTGGGAATGTGATGCTGAAGAGGGGCGCCTGATAGTAAGCGGCCCACAGAGCAGACACAGGAGAGGGCTCAGGTCTGCTTCTGCAAGCTTTATGCTATCAACGTGGCCACCTTTGCTGTGAGAGAGGGCCTGGCCCTGAGCACCCACTTTCTAAAGGGGGGCCTGTGGGGCAGGGGTGCTTGAATGGTGGAGTTTGGGTGTCCTGTCCTGGGATGTGGATCCTGGAAGCCCAGAGTTCTAGTACTAGATGGATGGGAACCCCAGGCAGAGCTTCCCCACAGACAGAAAGGTGCGGAGGCTCACGCGCTGGTGCCTGTGGAACTGAGGGAGGAGGTGGGCGCTGGCATGCTCACTACAGCGTCTCTGCCACTCACCTCAGGCCCGTAATGTCTCAAGTATGCTATAGACTGTTCAGGGGCTACAAACAACCCATCCTTAACTGTGCTCCATGTTCTAAGTCAATCAATCTTTGGAATCAATTCCTTTGCTAGCAGATTAGACACTGGATCCCAGGAAAATCATTTTAAATATTTAAATACTGGAACCACTCCTGGGCCAGACGCCATGTGGGAGAAGGCTTCCCAGGTCTTCCAGCTGAAGCTGGAGGGGTGCCTGCCCCAAGGGCTGCAGCCCTGCCGTCAAGCCACCTGCTTTATCCTGGCGGGTCGAGACCCAGTGAGCCAGGAGGACTCAGCCTGCGGGACCGAGAGGGCGAGGGGCCTCAGGGGCCCGGGCAGCCTCTGTGTCATTCCGGCCCAGCTGGCCCCTTGGTGCCAGGACCATGTGCTTTGAGAAGGAGACAGGAACTGACAAGTGGACAACAGAATGGTAGAAATAACCTCAGGGCTGGAAACCAAAGCAGTAATTACAGGAGGAAAAGACCACAACAAATCCCCAAATATGAGCCCTAGGATCCGGGACCAGGGATGGGCAGGAAAGAGAGGCTCCCCCTAGCCCGGTGACACAGGGCAGCATGAATAACACTGTGCAGTCAGGCTAAAAATTAAACAGATGTGAGTCCTTTACTTCAAAGGCTTAATTATTCTGACGTTTTCCGTAACTTAATCTGAGCCATCACTTCAACTTCAATTATGCATAATGAAATGGATTATTTACAGTAACTAATATGACAGGAAAACCGGAGAAGTGAGAATTGGTAACTTGGCAACTATTTATTCATCTTGTTTCAGTGCATCTTACTGACTACCTACTGTGTTTCAGCCTTGGCCATGGTCCTAGGGATGTGCTATCGGGAAAAAAATAGTACCGCTAAGCACATACCGTGGGCCAGTTTCACTTCATTATCTCGTGTTCTGCCTACAATGATAGTACACCACTGGTTGGTATTATTTCCCCTGATTCATAGGAGCAGACCTAAGAGTCTGAGAGGTTATGTAATTTCCCTAAGGTCGCAGAGCAAAACTTAGGTTTTTTTGCTATCTGCCTATTTTAGACAGAAACCTACAGACTAACATCTTACTTCCTGTTTTAAAGAGCAAAAGCAACTTCTCCTAAGGGAAAGGTTGCTTGTTATTTTAGCGGGAAAGTGAGTGATCAAAATTGTCCTTTTGGGAAATTAGCCTGAGTTTCCTATAGGAGGATTTGGATGCTGGTGAGATGGTCCAGGCCAGAGGTCAGGCTCTTAAGCCAGAGTAATGGCAGTAAAGCTGGAAAAAGAGGCCGCAGGCAGCCCTGTGGTGGTGGGGCAGGGCCCGAGGAAGGTCTGGATGCGCTGGCGGGAAGGAAGACAGCCTTGCCACCCCAGGTATGGGAGGTGAGAGACAGGGAGGCCCAGCTGGGCCACTGACCAGCCACTGGACCTGAGGCAAGTCACTCAGCCTCTCTGAGCCTTAGTTTTCTTGTGTCCAGAAGGGGCTCTAACCAGTGCATTTAGCCATCTCAGTTCAGGGACAGATAAACTGAAATGGTTTGTTTTTCCCCAGTTACGGTTTTCAACTTGCCTCTGCTAAGTCTCCCTTCACAGCCCGCTTCCAGGCCACTCTCCATTATTCACATCCCGCCCAGTTTTTCATAGCTTCCTTATCAAATGTAGCTTAAATCTCCCTGTCTGCTGCCCCCATCCCCAGGCTGGTGCAGGAGGAGCTGGGACTCTGAAAGTCAGAGCCTGGGCCCTGGGTGTGGTCTGAGGAGGAGGGGAAAGGCACAAGGGTGGGTGGCTAGCTGGCCGTCTCCACTGTCTCTTTCCACTGGTCATGGCACTGATGCCGGGGTTCTTGTTCACACAGTCAAAGAATGAATTTCGCAAACGCTCAAGGTAGGAGAGCAAGTGAGAGGCTTTTATTTAGAGATAAAGCAAGAGGACAGAGCTACTGGCTCAGGCCAGGAGGGGACAAGAGAGCCCCGGGGTGGTGTGTTGTCTAGGGGTTTTACAGGCGGTTGAGAGACAAAGGGCTAGAGATGTACACCTGCTAAGTGGTCCCAAAATGTTTACCTTTGAAGAGACATTAAGTTTCTTATTAGTCTTCATGGTTATTTACAAGAAATTTACTGCTCTGATTTCCTCCCAGGATAGCAGCTTCCTGGTCCTGGAACATATCACTGCTTTGGCTCCAAGGTGAGCTGAATTATTGTCTGTCTGTTAAAGAGTATGTTAAGAAAATTACTTTTTAATAAATTGGGTTTTAAAATGCAATGTTATTTTCAAAATGGAATCCTTCCTGTTTGTGCTTGTTAAAGTGCCCAGGTAGCAAATCACTTGAGTAGGGCTAGAGGAAGAAAAGCAGCACCTGGATAAAGTTAGAAAAATAATCTGGGACCCCCAGCAGGCCAAAGGAAATCCCACAATGGATTATCTTGCATTATTTTCTCCGGAGGCCCTCAGCCTGCTCTGTCTAAACCCGTGGTCCCTGTCTCAGTACTGTCCTGGCTCATACTGACTAAAAGGCTAGTGGTGACATCCACAGAGCCCAAGCTGGTTCACTTGTGGGCCCACCTGGTCTGCAGAGCACCTGTGGAGTCTCTCCCCACCCCTCCTCTTGTCTGCCTCATGTCCCCAGTGGGGAGGATCTGGCTCGATGTCCCCACCCCATTCCTGCCACCAGCCTTGTGCTTCTTGGCTCCCCTTGCCTGGTGGCAGTGCTCGGGTATGAGGAGCAGGAGAGAGGGGCCGATTCTGGTTTCCTCGCACTGTATCCACTGCGACTCTTACTGTAGCTCATTGAGGGGACAGGCTGCTCTGCTGCCAGCTTCCCTCTGTGCAACCATTACTCCTGCTCTGGGTGGAGGTCACATGCCCCCAGGCATTGCACTCAGCAGGCCTTGTAGACTGGCACCACACGGGGCAGTACCTGGCCCTGAGGGATGGGCCTCATGCACCCCGGGCAGTAGCCTCACTACTCCCATAACCTTCCCCACAGACCTTTCTGAGGGCTAGAGAGGCTGTGGTGCTGGCTGAGTTACAGGGCAATGTCTAGTGTAGCCAGCCCGCCTTGAGAATTCTGCTCCCAACGCTGAGGCCTCCTCATCAATTCAGGGCAGCAGAAACATCTCCACTTCCCTGCCCCTGCTCCCAAGAATGACTGGATGACTGATTGCAGGGCTCCTGGGGCCCTCATGGATGTCTACACTTCCACCCACCTTTACCATCATCTGGGTGTCTCCGCTCTGTCTTTGCTCCTTTGATTTCTCTTTGGTGGTCTCTCTGAGCACACAGCAGGTGTGGGCTTTGAAGATGGACTCTGAGCTGACTGGGGCTGGTTGGCTGGCTTCTTGGATACTGTGCAGTCACAGAAGCAGGTGAGCAAAGAAAAAACTGTCCTGTGGTGTTTAGAGTCTCCCTTAGTAACCATCAAAGTCTTTGTTTAATTTCTTGCATGGCAACAAAACTAGGAGGGGAAGGTGAGTGGCATCTGGAATGAACTTTGACTGTAAGGTGGGATTCAGCTCCTGGAAAATATGCTAGAAGCATGCACAAAGCTCATGCAGGAAGTCGTCCTCCTGGTTCTCCTGGGGGCCATGTCAGGTAGGAACACCATTCTGCCACCTTGCTCAGCCTTCTCAGTGTGTGCAATGTATTGCGTGATGACGTCTCACAGGAAGAAATTGCCTCCGGGAGGCCTGTTCAGCGGTGGATTTATCTGCTGTGATGGATGCAATGAAGCAGCAATGGGAGCCCTGGAGGCTGAGGTAGGGGTATTCTAGTCTGTTTGTACAGACTTCACATCCTATCTTCATTAACCAGCGTGTGCTAGAAGTCTTCCCAAGGTCTAAGGTCTGGGAAATGATTTCCACTACAGAGACTTGCATGTATGTTGGGTCTTTGTGGAGATTCTGGCCTTTCTCTGGAGCTTCAAGGGGCAAGTTGAGGTTGGCAAATTTCCTGTGGGAAACCTAAGGCACCAAGAGGCTCTGGTCTTAGTCTTGAGCAAAAGAAATGCGTCTGATAGAAGAGCCAAAGGTTCAACCTAGTGTTTCCTGCACTATCTCTTTCTTATTAAGAGCTTTGAAAATCTTGGGTGATCTTTGTAATGTGTCAGCTTGGATTATGGAGTTGAGCTTTTTTTAAAAAAATTTTTTATTAAGGTATTATTGATATACACTCTTACAAAGGTATCACATGACAAAACAATAGGTTACTACATTTACCCAAATTATCAAGTCCCCACCCATACCCCATTGCAGTCACTGACAGTCAGTGTAGTAAGATGCCACAGATTCACTATTTGCCTTCTCTGAGCTACACTGTTTTCCCCATAACCCCGCACACCATGTGTACTAAACATAACACCCCTCAAACCCCTTCTCCCTCCCTCCCCACCCACCCTCCCCTTTGGTAACCACTACTCCCTTCTTGGAGTCCGTGAGTCTGCTGCTGTTTTGTTCCTTTAGTTTTGCTTCATTGTTATATTCCACAAATAAGGGAAATAATTTGGTACTTGTCTTTCTCCATCTGGCTTATTTCACTGAGCATAATATCCTCCAGCTCCATCTATCTTGTTGCAAATGGTAGGATTTGTTTCTTTCTTATGGCTGAATAGTATTCCATCTTCTTTATCCATTCATCTACTGATGGACACTTAGGTTGCTTCCATATCTTGGCTATTGTAAATAGTGCTGCAATAAACATAGGGGTGCATATGTCTCTTTGAATCTGAGAAGTTGTATTCTTTGGGTAAATTCCAAGGAGTGAAATTCCCAGGTCAAATGGTATTTCTATTTTTAGTTTTTTGAGGAACCTCCATACTGCTTTCCAGAATGGTTGAACTACCTTACATTCCCACCAGCAATGTAGGAGGGTTCCCCTTTCTCTGCATCCTCGCCAGCATTTGTTGTTCTTAGTCTTTTCGATGCTGGCCATCCTAACCAGTGTGAGGTGATATCTCATTGCGGTTTTAATTTGCATTTCCCTGATTATTAGTGATGTGGAGTATCTTTTCATGTGCCTGTTGGCCATCCGAATTTCTTCTTTGGACAAGTGTCTGTTCAGCTACTCTGCCCATTTTTAAATTGGATTGCTTGTTTTTTGTTTGTTGAGGTGCATGAGCTCTTTGTATATTTTGGATGTCAATCCCTTATCAGATATATCAATTATGAATATATTCTCCCATACTGTAGGATGCCTTTTTGTTCTGTTGATGGTGTCTTTTGCTGTACAGAAGCTTTTTAGTTTGATGTAGTTCATGTGTTCATTTTTGCTTTTGTTTCCCTTGTTCAAGGAGATGCATTCAGGAAGAAGTTGCTCATGTTGATATTCAGGAGATTTTTGCCTATGTTGTCTTCTAAGAGTTTTATGGTTTCATGACTTACATTCAGGTCTTTGATCCATTTTGAGTCTACTTTTGTGTATGGGGTTAAAAAATAATCCAGTTTCAATCTCTTGCATGAAGCTGTACAGTTTTGCCAACACCAGTGGTTGAAGAGGCTGTCATTTCCCCATTGTATGTCCATCTCTCCTTTATCATATATTAACTGACCATGTATGGTTGGGTTTATATCAGGGCTCTCTAGTCTGTTCCATTGGTCTATTGTTCTGTTCTTGTGCCAGTTCCAAATTGTCTTGAGTACTGTGGCTTTGTAGAAGAGCTTGAAGTTTGGAAGCATAATTCCCCCAACTTTATTCTTCCTTCTCAGGATTGCTTTGGCTATTTGGGGTCTTTGTGGTTCCATATGAATTTTAGAACTATTTGCTCTAGTTCATTGAAAAATGCTGTTGGCATTTTGATAGGAATTGCATTGAATCTGTAGATTGCTTTAGGCAGGTTGGCCATTTTAACAATATTAATTATTCCTATCCATGAGCACAGGATGTGTTTCCATTTATTGGTATCTTCTTCAATTTCTCTCATGAGTGTCTTGTAGTTTTCAAAGTATAGATCTTTCACTTTCTTGGTTAGGTTTATTTCTAGGTATTTTATTCTTTTTGATGGAATTGTTTTTCTGATTTCTCCCTTTGCTAGTTCATTGTTAGTGAATAGGAATGCAACAGATTTCTCTGTATTAATTTTGTATCCTACAACTTTGCTGAATTCAAATATTAGATTTAGTAGTTTTGGAGTGGATTCTTTGGGGTTTTTTATGTACAATATCATGTCATCTGCAAACAAGGATAGTTTACTTCTTCCTTACCAATCTGGATGCCCTTTATTTCTTTGTGTTGTCTAATTGCTGTGGCAAGGACCTCCAGTACTATGTTGAACAAAAGTGGGGAAAGAGGGTATCTTTGTCTTGTTGCCGATCTTAAAGGAAAGGCTTTCAGCTTCTCACAGTTAAGTATGATGTTGGCTGTGGGTTTGTCATAAATGGCCTTTATTATGTTGAGGTGCTTGCCCTCTATATTCATTTTGTTGAGAGTTTCTATCATGAATGGATGTTGAATTTTGTCAAATGCTTTTTGGCATCTATGGAGATGATGATGTCATTTTTGTCCTTCTTTTTGTTGGTGTGGTGGATAATGTTGATGGATTTTCTAATATTGTACCATCCTTGCATTCACTGGAATAAATCCTACTTGATCACGGTGGATGATTTTTTTGATGTATTTTTGAATTCAGTTTGCTAATATTTTGTTGAGTATTTCATCTATGTTCATCAGGGATATTGGTCTGTAATTTTCTTTTTTTGTGTGGTGTCTTTGCCTGGTTTTGGTATTAGAGTGATGCTGGCCTCATAGAGTGAGGTTGGAAGTATTCCCTCCTCTTCTACTTCTTGGAAAACTTTTAGGAGAATGGGTATTAGGTATTCACTAAATGTTTGGTAAAATTCAGTGGTGAAGCCATCTGGTCCAGGTGTTTTGTTCTTAGGTAGTTTTTTGACTACCAATTCAATTTCATTGCTGGTAATGGGTCTGTTCAGATTTTCTGTTTCTTTCTGGGTTAGCCTTGGAAGGTTGTATTTTTCTAAAAAGTTGTTCATTTCTTCTAGGTTATCCAGTGTTTTAGCATATAATTTTTCATAGTATTCTCTAATAATTCTTTGTGTTTTTGTGGTGTCCATAGTGATTTTTCCTTTCTCATTTCTGATTCTGTTTATGTGTGTAGACTCTTTTTTTCTTAATAAGTCTGGCTAGGGGGTAATCTATTTTGGTAATTTTCTTGAAGAACCAGCTCTTACTTTCATTGATTCTTTCTATTGTTTTATTCTTCTTGATTTTATTTATTTCTTCTCTAATCTTTATTATGTCCCTTGTTCTACTGACTTTGGGCCTCATTTGTTCTTCTTTTACTAGTTTCGTTAATTGTGAGTTTAGACTGTTCATATGGGATTTTTCTGCTTTCCTGAGGTAGGCCTGTATTACAATACACTTCCCTCCTAGCACAGCCTTTGCTGCGTCCCACAGATTTTGCAGTGTTGAATTATTGTTGTCATTTGTCTCCATATATTGCTTAATCTCTGTTTTTATTTGGTCACTGGTCTGTTGGTTATTTAGGAGCATGTTGTGAAGCCTTCATGTGTTTGTGGGATTTTTCATTTTCTTTGTGTAATTTATTTCTAGTTTCATATCTTTGTGGTCTGAGAAGCTGGTTGGTACAATTTCAAACTTTTTGAATTTACCAAGGCTCTTTTTGTTGTCTAGTATATGATCTATTCTTGAAAATGTTCCATGTATGCTTGAAAAGAATGTGTATCCTTCTGCTTTTGGGTGTAGAGTTCTGTGGATGTCTGTTAGGTCCATCTGTTCTAATATGTTGTTCAGTACTTCTGTCTTCTTACTTATTTTCTGTCTGGTTGATCTGTCCTTTGGAGTGAGTGGAGTGTTGAAGTCTCCTAGAATAAATGCATTGTATTTTATTTCCCCTTTTAATTCTGTTAGTATTTGTTTCACATATGTAGGTGCTCCTGTGTTGAATGCATAGATATTTATAATGGTTGTGTTTTCTTGATGGATTGACCCTTTTATCATTATGTAATCTCCTTTGTCTCTTGTGACTTTCTTTGTTTTGAAGTCTATTGTGTCTGATACAAGTACTGCAAATGCCTGCTTTTTTCTCCTTATTTGCATGAAATATCTTTTCCCATCCCTTCACTTTTAGTCTATGTATGTCTTTGGGTTTGAAGTGAGTCTCTTGTCGGCAGCATATATATGGCTCTTGTTTTTTATCCATTCAGTGACTGTATGTCTTTTGATTGGTGCATTCAAATAATTTTCATTTAGGATGATTATTGTAAGGTATGTACTTATTGCCATTGCAGGCTTTAGATTCATGGTTACCAAAGGCTAAAGGTTAACTTCCTTACTATATAAGAGTCTAACTTTAACTCACTTAGTATGCTATTACAAACACAGTCTAAAGGTTCTTTTTTTCTCCTCCTTTTTCTTTCTCCTCCATTCATTATATATTAGGTACCATATTCTGTACTATGTCTATCCCTTGATTGACTTTGGGCATAGTTGATTTAATTTTGCATTTGCTTAGTAATTAACTCTTCTACTTCCTTTGCTGTGGTTTTACTATCTCTGGTGACAGCTATTAAACCTTAGGAACACTTTCATCTATAGCAGTCCCTCCAAAATACACTGTAGAG